AAAAAAAAAAAAACTGTGAATAAGATGAAAGAAATTTTGCACAAATGTGTTGCATTTAACATTACATCCGTTTACTGTCAATTTTTTCTTCTTTTTCTTTGCACAGATTTTTTTTATCTTTATGGCCTTTTTCTTTTTCGTTATTTTAAAGGCGGAAAAAAGAAGGAATACTAAATAATAAAATAAAAAATTAAAATACAATAAGATGAAGAAGAAGCAGGCAACGGTAAAGAAAGAATTTGGAACTGATAGCAGAGTTAATTAGACTGACAATTATTAATTTTCTTCTAACAATTTTCTGTTCTCAAGAGATCAACCAATTTTATTGGTTACTGAAACAAAACAGCGAACATTATTGAGCGCTATCTGTTTTTCAATGTGTAATAAAATGACTTCTAATCTATTTTGCTGCTGCTGTATAACATTAGTTGATGGTGTTAACTGATAATAATGCTGAAAATTGTGTATACCAGTTTCTGTTTCTTGAAATGAAAAAACTGAATAAAACAGAACGAACGTTCAAGCGGTTTTGTTGAACATTCGAGGCACCAACTATGTTTCTGTCTAAACTTCAGTGTTGAAATGTAATAGCAGATTTATATTTCAAATTTTTTAAAATTCAAGTAAAAAATTTTAAAAAAAAGAAGGTCTCCACGTTTTTCATTTTTTTTTTTTAAGACGAAAAAATCAGTTGCTAAAAGTCATTAGGTCTATTCAGTAATGTTGGCAAAACAAAATTTTTTTCTCCTAATTGATATATCAGCAATGGCACAGTTTTATTTGTGCAAATTCTTGCTTCGCCAGTGTTTTTTTTTCTTATTTATGTATGTGATATCTTGAAGTTAATTTTAAGATATTTTTGAAGCCAACAGATGACCACTGATTCTGCATAAACCACAGCAATGATGTTTGAAAGCTGCCGATGAAAAGCCGAAACTTTGGTGCTTCAAAGATGAACAATGTTAGATGTTGGCTATTCCGTTGCTGTCAATTTCGTTGGTTTCCGCAGCACTGCATACCGTTACTGCTCCTAATGCTCTTTTAAATTTGGCTAACTTTTTGCTCTAAAATCTGTATTTTTTGGTGGTATAGCAAAGAAGAAAACAAAGATAAAGCGAACGTTAAGAATCTATTAGCTTAAAATTTTTTATTTTATATTACACATATTCCGACATATAAATTACGATAAAAAAACAACTGCAAAACTCATTGTAAAAAAATGCAAGCATCTGATTCATTTTTGCTTTTTTTTAAAAGTGCGAATAAAAAATTGAATAAAAGGAATCTGATAAACAAATATGACTTTATTACTTTTACAACAGAATAAAATATGCAATTTGTTCCAAATAGGTGACAATTTAACTAAACGTTTACAGAATGATTTGTATATACAACAAGTAAAGTTTAAGAAAATAATTAATAAATTAGGGGAAAGGTAGAAATCGTAACAATGTTTATGTTAAAATAAAAGTATCTCTTATCCATTTTTTTTTTTTGACATCAACTTACAAAAAAACTTTTTTTTCTTTGATCTTAGTTCTTATCAACCTTTTTTTTTTCTAATTCTTCACTTCAGAACTTTCAGAGCAAATTCAGTAAAGTTAGTAAACTTAAATCAACTCATCTGAGGAAACTCAGGTTCAAAGATAATTATAGTCAGTTTGCAATCATTATTTGTACAAATAAAGTGTCAAATAAAATGTATCCGAAAAAAATAACTATCTTTTTTTCAAAAAAAAAAAAAAAAACCAGAAAAGTCATTGAAACGTATTAACGAGTAAAATGCGGAACGGCGTTGCTGTATCGTCGATAAAAAGTGCCATCCCCTAACTTACAACCGATTTTACACAAGAAATAAAAAAGTGAGGAACAGATTTCTGATAATCTTTTATTTACTCTGACATTATTACCATATAATATACTCTTTCTTTTGCAGCCGAGAATCGTATCAAAACTTGGGCTTAGTTTCCATTATTTCTGTCCAGTTTTTCTCTTTCAACTCCGTTGATGTTTCTATATTTTTGCTGTATTGACACAGCTTCAACACGTTTAGCCAGCGGACACAACGGGCAACACCAACACGTAAAAAAGATAAGAACTGAAAAAATTTTTTACTTAATTGAATTTGCATAATTTAGGCGTTTCAATCGATTATAACTTTGATTCAATATATTTTAACTAACAACTCACTGTAAGTTGTACTTTTTTTTCTAGGAGGTTCAAATTATAGCCAAATTAGAATTCTTAAGACCTCATAAAGTTTCCTTGAGCTTACGTTGCACTTCTCAAAACAATTTTATTAGCATTTAGCAAAGGCATCAATTGCTCAATTTTCTGTTTTTTAAGCTTCCATAAAGTAGTAATTCTTTCACAAAAACTTAGCAAAGATGATGACTAATGATCAACAACTAAACAAAATGAAAACTAGAAAACAAAAGAATTTTTAAGCTTAAAAAAAAGTTTC